AACATTATGGTGAAGCCTTGTCTACAATGTCATTTAGGACAGATATGTCTGCATGAACTGTGAACCAGCTACTGAGGTGCTGCTAAGAGTTTACACACAGTGGGGCAGAGCTCAGCCTTGGCCAGTGGCCTGAGGGCTTACCCAGGATCTCTGGTGGATTTGCAGCTCTTTGTATAACGACAGCGTTCCTTTGACTGTGCTTCTGATATATTTGATATTTTCTTTCTAACTTTAGGCATGTCTACACCAGCTGGAGTGTGAGCTATGGGTGCTGCCTTGCAGATAAAATGTAGAGCCTATTTCCACAAAAAATCATGGAGGGCACTCTATCTCCAAAACTATGTGTTTAAATTAGGCAAATTTATGGAGTAAAAATCTGTCTGCATCTATTACGCATGAAGATATAGGCACAAACTCCTGCCTCAAGAAATCCTTATGCTGCACATAAGGAAGCAGAAAGGATATAGGAAGAAAATTATCACTGTAGGCGTCCCATTTCTTTCCTAAGCGTCTGCTATCAGGAAATCTCAGACAGGATACTGAGCTAGATGGATATCAGCCGGACCCAGCAGGGCTCATTCTTATGTTCTATTTATTTATCTAAGAAGGACGGGGAGGGAGCCATTAGCTCATTTTTACTTTGAATACGTTCCTTTGATTTTGAATGAGGGATAACTTTACCACATTACTGTGGAGGAAGATACCTTGTCAAGAAGATGAAGGAAGGTTGTGAATTAACATGCTTCATCACCCCACTCAAGAGGCCCAGGAGGCAAACACTGTATCCTCCAGCTCTTGAACAGCACTGGCAAAAACTATTTTCCAAACTTTGTAGGTTGAAAACTGCCATATTTGAGAATGATTAGAGCTGTTTTCTCTTAGAGCTGGTTTGCCTTAGTTGTTAGAGAGAGACCAGTGCAAGAGCCTGACAATCATAGAGAAAGCTAGGCTATGGGTCTGACAGCTTACGGTTGATCTGACGCTTTACAGATGCATACTGTGTGACAGCTGCAATGAATCAGGTTATTAGAGGGACTTTCTGCTCCCTAAAGCTTATTTATTCCTGCCTTTCTCAAAAGGGGGTGGGGGTGGGGAAGTGTAAAGCCTATCAATGAGATAGAGGAGAGGGCCTGAGGCCAGACAAACCAAAACATTTGGAGATTCTGCTAATGCTACGAAGATGAAAGGAATCCCCAAATAAAAAGGAGCCAGAGACATATTTAGCAGAGCCTCATTCCTGAAGAGCCAATTGGATGTAGGCAGGAAGGTCTCCATGCACTCTCAGAAGTTGTTTTTCCTTATAAAGTAATGGCTTGTAATGTTATGAGCAAAGGGGTTACTTTATTCCCAGTTTTCTATAGCAGTTGGGATAAGACTGCAGCTTCTGCCCTCCTTTACCAAAAAAGAATGGCATCTACGAAGTGGTGCATGGCCTCTGAGCTGGCGCTCTTCAGGCCAGCTGAAGCCCATTTCCTAGGCCTGGTGGCTATACTGCTCCTGCTGCTGTGAAGTCCCAAGCACATTTCGTGTCCATACAACAATCTGCACAAGTTACTGACGAACAAAGAACTTCACTTAAGGAACACGTAGCTAAGGGTTTCCACTGATATCTTGAAAGGTGCTTGAAGTCCGTGGGGAAGTTCCCAATGTGCATGGGAGTTTTGCTAGTATCACTATAAAGAGAGCAGGGAAAAGGGTATGAAAGAGGCAAAATTATTTTTTCCACTTATTTTCCTTTCTCTGATCATACTCTGGACATGCTGCTGTGATGGAGACTGCAAAATGGTTTAGCACGGACAAACAGAAGTTCTCAGGGGAAGCCAACTAAAAACCATAGTTTGTGGCTATGGATGCAGTGAAAGAACTAGGACCTCGGGATATAGACACACCAGGCAAATTGCACTGGGGCGGTTTCCATACAGATGGGCGGGATAAGTGCTGAAAGATAGGCAGCAGAAAGTGGTGATGGAAGTGGCCTCCAGAGGGGAAGCTAAACTACTTTCAGAAATAGTATTGTATTCTTTATCTTGCAAAAAATTTTATATATATTTGGGCTAAGCTGGTATGTGTCCATAGCTACAGAGGAGGGTTCAGAGGTTTGATCCCCAGCATTTAGGCTTGGCTCTCAGAAGACTTGTTCTGTTCAGTTCTCTTTATGTTCTTATTCCTGTCTCATGCCAAGTACATTCTCCCCTTTCCCCCACCCCTCTGGCAATCACTTGTGTTGCTGAGAAGAAAGGTGTAAACTACTAATGTCATTTTTTCCCATGTGTTCTTATCTGTAGTCATATCTGTGTGGTCATACCTTGAGCATGGAATCACTAAGAAGAAAAGAAATACCTATATTCTATAATGTCCCTCGAGCCGGACTGACCTAATTTCCTTGCATAGTTCACCTGTTTGCCTTCCTTCCTTCCTGCCCCGGGACCTTCCATAACGTAACGCCCCAGAGATGAGCTGCCTGCTGAACCCTGGCTCTCCGCTGTGTGCTGGAGGCACGGTTGTGCAGCATTTCCACATTTTTCCTGTGCTGTTCCCGTGTATCCATCACTACTGCTCAGTCAGCCTCGGGGCTTACTTCTCCCTTCTAGTCTGCATAGCCCTGTCTCTAACAAATATCCTTCGTATGGTAGGTCCCTCCAAACAACTGGTGTTTCCTCTTTATCGCCGTATCAACAACTGCCTGCTCTGAACTAGACTCTGTGTCAGCCGTATCTTTTCCCTGAGCACCCTGAAAGCTGGGATTCCCACATCTTTGGTGCCCATGACAGGAAAGGTGATGTGTGATCCCCACCCAAATAACCATTCCTCATAGCAGCCAAGGGGCTGCTGCTGCCATCATTGCCACCACTGGTAATTGTGATACACACCAGGCTAAGTTTACAGGAACTGTGAGGAAGCTTAACAGAGGTACGAGGCTGTCTGTGGTATCTGCATGGCCACTGCCTCCTATAATATCCACAGAAGCCTCTTGTAGAAAACTGTTGCCTGTATTTCTAGCTATGCTGAGGTGAGGAGTGAATGGTTTACCAGTTCTACTGAAGGGTTGTTTACTTGGCTCTGCAATCTCATATGTGCTGTATGTGCTAAAGCATCATCACCAGTAAGCTTTTTTGGGAGCGTGAACCTCTTCTCATTAAGGTGAAGAGTTTGGATTCTTTTGGATTTTTGTCCCAGTCTTGGTATTTCCAAGGAGAAGTAGTAGATGATGCTTCTGAAAACCTTGGATTATGTTTCCTCCAATCTAGGAGGTAATTGATGTTTGTATCAAAATCAGACATGATACTGCAGTGAAGGTTCTGCTGTGTGAAATTCTCCTTCCCCTTGACCTGAGTTCCCTGATCTAATACCATATGTTCTATGTGAGGTACATAATTTTTCTCAGCTGTGTTTTTGAGTGTTGTTTGAAAACCAAGAATTTGGTTTTCGCTGTCCTTTCAGTGTCAGTCGAAGATATGCAAAAAAGGGTCTGTTTATATGCTCTGTTGTAGGTTGCTTACCTTGGTGGTTTTTCCACGCCCCCCCCCCCCCTTTTTTTTTTTATTTTAAATATCTCTTATCTTTTGCCCCAGTGCTGGAAGTGAAATAATAAATAGCTTTTGCATGGCTCATGTTCCAACACTTGCTGGCTTCTGTTTCTGACCCTCAAAGGCAGTTACATTCCTTAAAAGTTCCTTTCCTTAAAAGTTAAATTCCTTTTGGTCGTCAATCCATAATTCTGCCTATCTGCTATCTCTACTAGTGGCCTAATCCTTATAATCTCTACATCAGAAAAACTCCCACTGTGGTTGTATGGGAGATTTTCTTGCATTAAGACTACTCAATTAGGCAGCAAGCACTTTGTAAGCAAACACATGATGCCCCTCCCCATTGTAACAAGACTCACAAAGCAAGGATCTCACTTGGATTCTCACATCTTTCTTCGCTTGTGTGTGTAGAGCAGTTTTGAATTTGTAACGGTTTAATATTGGAGTTTAGAGATGCTGATTTCTGGTCTTTAGTACAAACTTAATGAAAAAATATTGTTGACTATGAAAGGGCTGCTTCGCTAGAATCAGCCTGTCCAGCGAACAGCTGGCTACAGCTGTAAAAATCCAGTTCTGTGCTGCAAATAACTTGTACAGTGAGAACCCGTGCTTTATTCGCTAAAAATATGTTCAACGGAAAAGCTAGATGGGGGTTATAAATTTTAACAACTTTTATTATGAACAATTTGAGATGAGTTTACGACAGTCCAGGCTTGTGGCCATCAGTGGAGTAGCACTAGGGCGAAGTTGGCCCACAGGTCCTAGGGTTTTGAAAATAAGCTGACAGAGAAACAGAACGGATTCTAACCCATTGCAATCCAGAGGGGATCATAACAATCTTTTAACAGAACATTTTCGCAACCTTCAAAGACTTCACTGTGAACCCTATACAACAGCAGGTACTTTTTTCACTACCCTTAAACCTATGGGCAATATTTAGCACACAAGCAAAACACTGAGCTTTTAAAGAGACTTTGTAGCAAAATTCAGCAGCTGTTTAGCTTGCCAGAAATATTTTCATTGTTTTTGTCAAAATCTTTAATGAAAGCAAAGTGTTTCTTTAAAAACACCTTCCCTCTTATAAATGACTGCTCTTCCAATTTATCTCTCTGCCTCTTGGATGTTACTGTGGAGGCCTGGACCTCTCTTGTTTGAACACACGCTCCTCCTGCCAGAGGGTGTCTATTGTGGGCACACTCCATCTCTCTGTATTTTAGCAACTCTCCTGAAGTTTTAAAGTGTTTATCTTACACAGCTGAAAGTCTCCTCCTGTTTCATGAGCTCTACACTGGAATGCAGTGGAAGAGACCCAGGGCCTGTGGCCACCCAGATTAGAGGTTTTTGTAATAAGGTCCCTATATGGTTTTGTTAGAGACTTCAGCTCTGTCTCTGTCTGTCTCTGCTCCTTGTTTGGGAGGCCAGTGGGAGGAGAAGAGCTGAAGGGGCTATATAACCTCAGAGCTTTCAGATACAGAGTGCACCGTCCCAGGGCAGCAATCCCCAGCCAAGCACTGTCAGGGTAAGTGGCACTGAACCAATAGCATGATTTACAGATTGCTGGAGGACTTCAATTAAATAATGTCAAATGGAAGCTGTTCAGGAGGATGTACTGCCGTGCAGTAGTTTACTTAAGCAAACTTACTTATTTATTAGAGTTGAATTGATAAAACGCTTGTAATATCTATACTGAGTTGTCTTTATTTTATCGCACTTCCAAAAGGGAAATAGAAGTTCTACCTGATGATTTTGCTGATTCCACCAGCCCTCCAGCAATAGCATAAAGACACAGTTTGTGTAATGCCATGGCTGGAATTATAGCTATACTAATGTTTAAATGAACCCATGTGACCCTGCGGTGTTAGTTTTGTACAGAACAGAGTTCCTGAAGGGGTGAATTTGCCCGCTGTGTAGTAGGGCTTCTCAGCAGGTTTGCTTCAGTGCTGCTAACTCAGCGTAATGTGACATGAGTGTTTTGGGGAATGTGACTGTAAGAAGAGCTGGAAGTATGCAAAACAGCAGTTCCTAATAGGATACAATGAGGATGTGTGTGTATTTGTCCTTGTCTCTATGTATATGAAACTACTGTTCTGTAAAATGCCAAACATTTAATTATGGAACAGGCTACACACAGTATTTCTTGTGGGGCAGGAGTTCTCTTGGGAGCTTGTTGTGGAGATTGGTGAGGTGATTGGTTATCTTTAGAAATAAAGCAGGTAGAAGAAAGAGGCTAAATACTGTACGAATTACTTCGGAGAAAAATTTCCTTTCTTCCACAGTGCTGAGTGACGTTTGCTGCTCTAAGGTGTTACTACTGCATGCCGTGGCAATCCTGAGCTGTAACTCATTGGCTGGCAGCAGAGCGCCCTATCTGAAATCATTCAGCTTTGATTTTTCAACTTTTTGTGCTTTATTACTAAATATGGTTTTCATTTAGAGTCTACTAAGCTCAGAAATGTAGCCTTTCCTGCCCCCTTCTTTCCCCTCCCCCAAGTGATTTTTGGCATTGCATTAGCTGCATGGGTTTGAGCAAACCCCCTGACCTCGAACTCTGTTCCAAAAACAGACGGTTGAAAAGCCTATTTCCTAATTAGGAAATGGTTTGTCCAAACCAGTCTGTTCATTCATGTTAGATAACAATTGTACTCCATTCAGTAAATGTTTGAATATAAAGAGCCTGTTTTCCTAGGAGTTTAATAAACACAAAAATTGCAACCTACTTTCCTTTCCCAATAATAATGATAAAATATCTGGAGTACATCAAGTTAGGATTTCTCTATCCTTGCCTTCTCCTGGGAGCTATGCCCAAGCAGCCTGCAGGAGCGGGGCTGCAGCCGTGTCTCATGGCTGCCTGGCTGGGGAGAGACGGAGGATCTCAAATGAAGGATTTGGGAGAACTGTCCATGCTTGTTCCATCCGATGTAGAGGCTAAACAGATTGTGGGCTCTGTTGCTCATCAGCCTTGGCTCTCGCTGACCCCATTCCCACTTTGTCCTGCGCTTCCAGTATTCCTGTGGCAGAAGCTTTCGGAGACTGTGTGCGGAGCCAGCTGGTCTGTGGATGACAGCTGTCTCCTTTAGCTGTTAACACACTGCAATTTGTTGAACTCTGCATGGAAGCCCAGGCTCAGAGCTAGCCAAGTGATTCCCTACCACGCTATAAATTGTAAGCAAATAGTTCTTCTTGAGTCCTGGTATTCAGTACTTGTTTCTGTAATTGACTTTAATACAAAGCCTTCAAAGCATTTTTATTACCCATATTATCTTCCTGTTGCCAGAGGAGGACAGCAGTTTCTTTTTACTGAGACAAGGAGCCAGCATAAATTGCTCTGCCACTCTACAAATGCAGTTTATTAGCTCCTTTGAAATGATGATAGACCATACGCTATGGCCTGTTTTTAAAACACATACTATCCCTGACTTCATTTTAAAGGCAGGTTATTTTTTCTGAGTGACTAGGGGAAGGCTGGGAAAGGCTTTTTTTTCCCCCCCTTTTTAATTGGGAACATTTCTTCTCTTTTAAAAGGTTAAATGTAAACTTAATTGGCCATCTTGACCCAGTGGGTTAATATCCGCATCAGGAAAACACCACTGGTACATGCCTAGTATTTAATGTAGTTAGTCTTTGGCAAGCCCAAGACTGGAGGGGGAAGACCGAAGTCCTCTTACCTTTGACAGCTTTCCACATGTCAGGATTTTGTCAGGGTGATAGAAAAGCGGGGGAAGTTGTGCTGAATCCAATGCAAAGGGATCTTTGTTTTTGCAGCTGTCAGTCCAGTGTTCTCTTTTATCTCCCACCCGCCCCCGGCCGTGGATTTTTGTGACCAAATTTAGGTAAACATTTGCTGCTCCCTGGTCTGTCTGCCCATGCCGCAGGACTAGAAGTCTCCTCTGGAATCCCCTGGATAATCTCTAGCACATATAGCCCTCCGGCAGACATGGTTGAAACCTCTTGCGCTTTCAAAAAGAAGCCCGTTCCCTTGTGTGGCCCTGCAGGCCAAACTGGTGCCATACCTCTCTTTGCTGCTGCTGGTTGCTTTCATACAGCTGCCTCTGTCTTCAAGGGTGGGTCTGCTACCTAAGTGTGGTGGGTTTTGGTTTTGGGGTTTTTTTTTTAATTCTTTCCTGCTGTTTTTCATAGGGCCATTTTCTGTCTGGAGGGCCTGAGGACGTTGACGTAGAAGATGTGCGAGGAAGAGGACAGCACTGCCCTCGTTTGTGACAATGGGTCAGGGCTCTGTAAAGCCGGCTTCGCTGGGGACGATGCTCCAAGAGCAGTTTTCCCTTCCATTGTGGGTCGTCCCAGGCACCAGGTGATGAACTGCTTTGGTTATTCCATACAAGGCTTGTAGAAGGCGTTGCTGCCCTGTCCCCAGCCCTCCACGCCAGAGCCACCTTTTCCCGTGTTTGGGGCTAGCCCAGCCCTGGGTGATCTGTGTAACGCAGCATTTCCAGGCAAAATGAGTCCAGCAGTGCACTCACCTGAGTCAAAGCAGGTCTCTTGCCTTGTGAGAGGAGTCCTTCTAAAATCTTTCACTCCCTTATATGCCCTCTTCTGCCTGTCCCTTAGTTTTGGATTACCCAGAGAACTTGGTGAGTAAAGCTAGTTTAAAAAAAACACAAAAGCCCAATGAGAAGTATCTGGAAATTTTGACTGCCCTAATAGCTGATGATAGGTGAAGTGTGGAAAACTAAAGGAGGAAGGAGAAGTTTTCAGTCAGCTTCCTATTACCCTTCCTGACTTTATTCATTTAGCTGTATCACAAATGGGCACCTGTCTAGGGTTGAGTTTCTTTAGCTTCAAGGTTTACATCTGAGTATATGATGCATTCCAGTCGATTTTGATAGTTTGCAAAATACATATATTATCTGAGCTGTTAAATATAGAGAGTTTCTGAGCCAGATCATTATTAGCATGAACTAGAGCAGCTTGGCTAGGCCACCACAAACTAATCCTCCTAATTAGTAGATCCACCTAATTGCTTCTATGCCATCCAAGGACCTGGTGAAATGGGAAGGCGTAAGTAAGATGCAGTACTTTATATACCCAGCAAATACGTTTTAAGCTCTTCAGGGCAGAAGAAATGTGTGCCTCATTGAGGCCTCTGGGCATTAACATATTTGAAAAAAAATATTAAAATGCCAGCTTCTGTAGATAATGTGAATGGTATTAATTGCTCAAAAGCAAGCCATGCAGCCACAGTGGAAACAAATACAGCAGATTTCTAGAACCTTTCTTTCCTGATCACATATCACGGATAGCATTAGTGCCCTGAAGGAAGGATCATCCCATCATAAATTGCAAATCCAGCTTGCTTGTTTCTAAGACAGAGCAGTTAGAGATGCTAAGGTTTGGAGTGTGTAATGACTAAGTTCTGATGAAAGTATTACGCACTCAAAGCATCCTACTATATACTATTTTTTTCCAGTATTTCTAACTTTAACATAGAGATTACTGTATATCCAGAGTAGTTTCCAGCTTCTGGTCCATGGATGATTTCTACAGGATCCATGAAAATACCTAAAAAGAAGCCTGTACCAGTAGATTAAAATTGTCTGTCTCTGATGGCAATATTATAGTGTTCAACAAGAAGATTAAAAAATGTTGAAATTTAAGCTTTGGGAAATGTAAAGTGTGTATTGCTCCGTCTTGACCCTTAGATGGCACAACATCACTTTCTGCTTTTACTCCACTTTATTATAGTTTAGCAGATAGTTCAACCCTAAATAATAATGAACATTAAAACAACCCTATTTTTCCAATTAAAATTTTGATGAGATTAACATTGTACTTGTGCCGTTTACTTAAACTGTAGTGGAAACATGAACTCCAGAGGTTTAAGTGAACTAAACATTTAATTTTGGAAATTAAAAAGCAATGAGTAATTCTCTATTCATTAGTATTTGTGTTTTGTAACTAGTATCACTGGCAACTGGATTTATTTCACAGCTAATGTTCTATCTACTTTGTGACACCTCTCCTTGAGAGACTAACTCCATTTGTGTTATTTTATAGGGTGTGATGGTTGGTATGGGTCAAAAAGACAGCTACGTAGGTGACGAGGCTCAAAGCAAGAGAGGAATCCTGACCTTGAAATACCCCATAGAACATGGCATCATTACAAACTGGGATGACATGGAGAAGGTATTTCAGCTTTTAAAAGTTGATATGTATCGCTGGTAAACAGAAATACTTGAACCAAATGTTCTTTTTTTGCTGGTAAACAGAAATACTTGAAAGAAATGTTTACAGAATATCCACTAAATTTTAGATGAAAGCGTCATGCTATCAAGTATGGTTTGACGAGAAGGTTGTTAACAGCAAAGGTTAACCTGCATCTAAAGCTGAAGTGTCACTAGGAGTACGTAAAAATAGTTATTGGGAGTTCTTTTACTCCAGTATGATCTATACATCTTTGCATTAGCAAAGGAAGGGGAAGAAAGAAAAAAAAGAAAAAAAAGGAAAGAAAAGGAATATCCTCAGTTTGCTAGTAAAGAAATGGAATTTAAGAAGGTATCTGTTTCTGCAAAAATACAAAGCATGTATGTAATTTTGATGTGAAGGGCGCTGTTTACACACATACTTTTTAATACTTGAAAGATTGGCAATACTGCAGTGCAATGCATCCATTTCAGAGCTAGTACTTGGATGAAAAGCTTCCAGAACCATGTTTACAGTCGTAGTCTGTGCGGTTGATATAATTTCTAAGATGGTATTTCTATTTAGTATTGTGCTGTGGAAATAGGGCTATTTGGAACAGTCGGGACATCACAACACACTGCAAGTGTGTGGAGCCACACAGGACTTACTGACTCTCATAGCATTGTACGTTTTACTTGGAAAGACAGCAAAACCTTTCAGCTGCCAAACCTACCAACCAGTCTCTAATCACCACCAGCTTGAAAACAAGCTTAGAAAAAACTTTTTGGCCTTTAGAAAGTCTCTGGTGTTTTTACTTCTTATTGGTATATTAACCTCCCCATTGCAGTCCGCTCGGTCTCCGATTTTTACAGCTGGGAGGAATGAGCCATGAGGAGGCGATAAACACAAGTTGACTTTCAGCCTCACAAACCATTTACCTTCATTTCTTTTTGTGAATTCTTGGGCTGGCCTCTACAAACCAAAAGACAAAACTGTTTTCAAGAGACCCATTATCTATTGAGCTCTACTGCATAGGTCTGCATATGTTCTAGAGCTGTTCTGAAACTGTTTAACTTTCAGTCATTACTGAAATAGCATTGCTGGAACCAAGTCTGTCCTGCTCTGTCTCTTCTACCGTAAGAATAACTTATTTATTCTCATTAGCTTATGTGTCCTTAAAAGAAGTCATATATTACTAGCAGTAAAACCTGAGAGTAGTGGTTTTCTTTCTTCAGTTACTTTGGTAATCTCTATGAAGGCAATAAGAACAACTGCATGAGAAACATTACTAGCCTATTTCTAGGGCTGTAAGCAGGGTGTTGGAGCACAATACCTGTCTGGAAGTGATTCTGAGCTGCTGGTTAATAGTGTTTCTTTCCTTTGGCTTCTCCCATTGTTCTCAGATCTGGCATCACTCTTTCTATAACGAGCTCCGTGTTGCACCTGAAGAACACCCGACTCTACTGACTGAAGCACCACTGAATCCCAAAGCCAATCGAGAGAAAATGACCCAGGTAAGCTCACACTGAAGCTATGGAATAATTCCAACTTTCTGAATTCAACAGGATGTGAAGTTCATCATTTCAGTTAGTCATGCTGTCCCGTAGTCTCTCTCTCTTAGTTCTGGAAGATGGAAAGTGCATAGTGACCACCTGTCATGTTTGCATATTATTACATTTACTTTAGAAAGTCGGTGCATCCCCTTTGAATGTGAGTACTTCAGTCTGTCCAAACTTTATGTCATCTTAATCTGTTTTTATGCCCAGGCCTATTACAAATTTATCTTTCATATGTGCATGTGTCTATATTCGTATGTTAAAGATACAGGTGAGATACAGGGAGATGTCTTACAGGACAAATATTTTTGGATTTAGATTTTGTATTTTCCTTCCTTGTTATTAGCAACCATCAAGAAATATGAAAATCTTGTCTTCTCCCTCTCTTTCAGTATATTGCTTCAACTAAGCTAAAACCCCTAGTGTTAAGGCAATTATTTTAATTGCATTTCAGATTATGTTCGAGACTTTCAACGTACCAGCCATGTATGTAGCTATTCAAGCCGTTCTGTCCCTCTATGCTTCTGGACGTACCACAGGTAGGCCTCTGGGGAAGATGGCATAGACATTTGAAATAGTTAAGTGTGTTGATGTGTACCTGGGAACGAATCGTGTGTTATCTTCTCAAAGGGATTGTGCTTGACTCTGGGGATGGTGTCACCCACAATGTGCCAATTTATGAAGGCTACGCCTTGCCGCATGCCATCATGCGTCTGGACCTGGCTGGCCGTGACCTGACAGACTACCTCATGAAAATCCTGACGGAACGTGGCTACTCCTTCGTGACCACTGGTAAGGACACGCTGCTGACTGAGGAGCAGAGTTCTTTAATGCGCAAGAAGGACTAGCAGTGGTTCTGCAGTTGATTGGACACAAGAAGGAATCTAACAGCAAAGTCCCCTACAAGACTAGCAGAGGATTTGTTTAAAAAATGGGGGTGGGTGGGGGTGGGGGGGTGGTGTGTGTGTGTGTTTTGGAGAATGAAAGGGAATAACCTGTTGACATGTCTGGATCCTCCCCGAATGCCATTCTAAAGATTGAATCCTCTTGACAGCGGAGCGTGAAATTGTCCGTGACATCAAGGAGAAGCTGTGTTACGTGGCCCTGGACTTTGAAAATGAGATGGCCACTGCTGCCTCTTCCTCCTCCCTGGAAAAAAGCTATGAGCTTCCTGATGGTCAGGTGATCACTATTGGAAATGAACGCTTCCGCTGCCCAGAAACCCTCTTCCAGCCATCTTTCATTGGTAGGTTGAATGATTGTTCTGCCTTGGTAAACTGCACATAAATACCAAGTCCCTGTTTTCTTTTGGTTGCGTCCCATTGCTAACTCACTTAGACGTATACACGGGTATGTCCTAGCACCCATTATATAATAATCTTTTAGAACAGCTTTATTAATACGGTGGGAGGAACTTCATGTCAAACAACAAGGCAAAATGCTTTCCCAAAATAAACCCTGAATGTTTATTCCTGGCTTCTGGCATTGGGCCCATGCCATTTTGTATGTTGTGCAGTTGGCTACTACGAGAAGTATGACTGCAAAGCCACTTTTCTGAGTAGTGTGAGGATTGTAGTTTGAATGTGCTTGCAGGGAGGTGGTGTGGAGGGGAAGCACTACTTTTATTTTTCAAAAAGACTGCTCCAAATCCTGAATCCATGGTTCATCACATTTGCAGAGCAAAGCCAACACAATGCAGGCAAATCAACAGCCACAAGGCAGAATTGGAACAGGGTCACACAGAAATCCAGTGTCGGTTCTGCCAATCGGCAGAATTTCAGCTCAGAAATAGATGAAGTAGTTGCATACTTAGGGGTATTAGGACATATTTTGACTGTTCTGTCTCTGATCTGGCTCAATTAAAAAAAAAAAGAAAAAAAAAAGAAAAAAGAAAACAAATGATTCCAAGACCATATAAGGAATTTTTAGGACATTTGAGATTGCCTGCAAAAGCCTAGTGGAAACTTTACTATTCCACACCCCCAGCTTTCTTTTTAAGGAGGAGTTGTGTGCATAAGGGGGAGAGGAGGGCTGTACACCAAGGAACTCCTAAGCAAATAATTTAGACAACTGCAGAATGACTTTCCAGATTTTCACAGCTCTGAAGACTGACGTCTTCCAAAGAGACACTAAAGTTCATGTCATCAGTTCTGTGTCAACAATTTTGAGTCTCTATATGGAGTTGCTCCCTCAGTGTTCTTCTGTAACTTCCCCAGGCATGGAGTCTGCTGGCATTCATGAAACGACTTACAACAGCATCATGAAGTGTGATATAGACATCAGAAAGGATCTTTATGCCAACAACGTGCTGTCTGGAGGCACTACAATGTACCCGGGTATTGCAGACAGGATGCAGAAGGAAATAACTGCTCTGGCTCCCAGCACTATGAAGATCAAGGTATGGTGCAATTATTTGTAGACTGTTTGAGTTGGCATGTACGAAGTCCTCAAAAATCTAATGAAACATAGCAACACTTTACAAAGTAAGTGCTTTGTACATACTTTGAATCATGTCTGTACCTTCTAGCAAATAATCACCACCTGGTAACTTTGTTGCTGGAAGAAGAGAGCCTTCTCTCATTTCCTTGTTCACGGTGAATTCTGCAGACTGCCCCAACATCGCCAAAGAAGAATAGCGTGGACCCAGCAGCATAAATTTTCCTCTGGGGCTATATGTGAGCTTCCTCAGCCCTTTTTGGCTGATGGAGATGGGAAAGAGGAAATGCTGGTTTTGTCCTTGGCCTACAAGTTCAGAAAAGAAAGAGTCTCTGACAAACCAGTCTTCCTCCTGCTGCTTCAAATCTTCCGTTCCTTGCTTTGCAAACATTTTATCAGCTATACCAGCAGGAGTGCTCCACAGGTCACTCGTTCTTCCAAGCCCTCCTGGGCTATCGTTACATGTTTCCAGAGCAGTTACCTCCCCTTTTCTCATATGCAGGCATGAATACACAAATGCACTGCTCCTACTGGGCAGACTGACTCAGGCAGAGAAATTGAGGATTTACACTCAGACTTAAATAACAACTTTTTAACTTTACTGCTTGCAGCAATGGCTAACTGTAATGCCAGGGATGACACTAGCCCATAGATACAGTGTTTTTGTTAATATCAAATATCACTGCTTTAATATTTTTGTGTAACAAATGTATTTTAGTCACAGTGGACAGTTGTACTTAATGCTTTTATTTTTTAAACAGATCATTGCTCCTCCTGAACGTAAGTACTCCGTCTGGATTGGAGGCTCTATTCTTGCCTCCCTGTCTACTTTCCAGCAGATGTGGATCAGCAAACAGGAATATGATGAAGCTGGCCCATCCATTGTTCACCGCAAATGCTTTTAAATTGCTTTATCTTTATATGTCTCCTTAGTGTATTACTGTGAATGTATTCAGGAAAATACATTCTTATAATTTCATTCCATAAATTCTTCATCATAATGACTCTAATTAATTGGATACTATGTATTTTTTTTGAATAAATTTTAAATATGCTATGAAATTGCTGCTCCTATTTAAAAAAAAAAACAAAACCCATGCATTTGTGGAGGTACCATTACAGCTGGTTTGAAGCTCCATCTTGTGACACGAATTTGTTACTACACTATACCGGGCTTAATAGCAAAAGTGGTACCTTTTGCTCAATGATGCCAATGCTAGAAAATGCTCAGCTATCAGGCTGCATGTTGTCAAAGCTTAGCCTCAGTAAACATTTTAGTCTGGAAAAATCAAGACTGGTTCTGTTTGCAAAGTTCTGGGCAGAACCAAAGGAGCGTAGCATCTGTTCGATATCAGGATGAGCCTAGACACTCTGCTTTGTATCTGCTCTATCCAGAAATATTATCTATCCACATCACTTCTTAATTCACAGCTGTCATGCTGGAAAAGCTAATTTTTTACAGTGTGTGTGGTCCAGAGGTGTACGATGCGTACTGCAACAATGCTGTGTGTTTTCTTTAAAGAAACAAAACCTGTTCCTTTGGGAGCATATCTAAACACTAATATTAGATTGAACACATGACTTTCCTATCATATGCCCTCAGGATGAGTGCAGCCTATTGTTTTTACGTTGCGATTCCTGGCAAGGTCTAAAGGGTAATTAAGCTGGCTTAATACACTTTCTCTTCAGAACTGGGGTTTTTTTTTGGGGGGGTAATGTAATCAAAGTAGATAAAATAACTTAGGCAACTGATATTCAACTAGAAGAATATACATAGAAGCTGAAGCCAGTAATACTGTCTTAAAAGTATATATATGAATAAAGAATTCACTGAGACAGACCTGGAAAAGGTCAGTTCTAAGGAACTTGCTGCAATCCGTGTTCATTAGAGTTCAGGATAAAGGATGCTATTTATTTTTGTTACCTAGTTTCCTGTCTAAACTCAATAGTTTACCTCACGTGCCTGTTACTCGTTACCTTTCAAACTGTAAGCTCTTTGCAACAGCACCTGTTATTTACCATGTCTGCGTAACCCCTGGGTTCCAGATCTTGTCCAGCTTCTGACTGTTAGCACGTATTCCAAATTTTATTGTACTAACCTTATTATTTAAAGTATAGGTCATCTACGTTCTTGGAACAGATACTAAATAAACTCTTGTTAGAGCAAATAACTTTGTATGGTTCTTCCTTCTAACCCTATCTAGATCTTTTTATCTAACTCTAGATAGATCCAGGGAATCCCTTTCGGGATAAGAACTTGATTTCAAATAAAAATTTCTACTAGAGGGGTGCTGGAGAAGACACATTTCTCCAAGGGACGCTGATGCATCTCTGCTATGCCAAGATGTGATGAGGGTCAGCTCTCAGGTAAAGGTCTTGTGTTTTCCTAAATGTTTTCTACTTAATAACAGCCGAAACTTAAGCTATACAAAGGTGGAATGGGGAAAAGGATGAAAAAAAATCACCCAAACTGATGTATTTGACTCTACTACATATAATGTAAATTCACTGAAGCAGTGAAGAGATGTACATAGCTGGAAGTCACAAAAAGGCAACCACTGTTAAAAATCCCTACTTCTCAAAGCAATTGATGCCGACAAGTGACGAAAGAAACATGGCTTGTTTCAACACAGTTACTGTTGTTTGAAGTTCATTTTATTGTTATGTTTCATAGGTGAGATTTGTTTACAGATTCAGGGGTAATGCCACTGAACTCCATCTTGACAGAGCAACAAAATAACTCCAAAACAGGCTAGAGCAATAAATATCAAACCATTCAATTTAAAATGTATAAATATAAAAGTTATCTCTGAAAATGTAGGAAAAACAGGAATCCATTTTTCTGTTTTGGCCATTTGTGTAGTAACATCGCTATCATCCATCTGTATCATCACCTCAGATCCAACACAATTATCTTTATGTCTTTCCCGACCACATGAGTACATGGCTGCAGAAGAAGTCAACCCATTACTCAGAGAAATCAGTTTCAGTAAAATAGCATATGAGGGCTATTGTTTCCTTTTAACTTTCTGAGCCTGCTTAATACTATGCCTATCTATCCAACTTTGATTGTACCTATCACTGTGCCTGTTCACAGGCAGACCTCACTGTCACAGCTATAGACTGCTGAATAAAGCAAGGACTACAACATGCAATCAGAAATAAATTTCTAAAGAGGATATTGCTTAGTGCTTGGCCTGTGAAACAGATTAGACTTCTGTGCTATCCTTTATGTATCACAGCACGGGATCCCTGAAGTGGAGGGGGAAGGTGTTGCGTGCTGCGATAGAACAGGTGCATGGGGGACAGCAGTGAGGAAAGCGTCAACTCTGTTCTCTTCCTGCAGTAGCTTCAGATATATCTGCCCACATGATGGATTTTTAGAGCATTTAGGACTACGCTATGTCTTTAGACACAGTCATGACTAAGTAACAGCTTGTTTTGGGTCTGTGGAGAAGAGTTTTTACCAGAAACCAGAAAGATGCAGATTCAAATTGTTCTAGTCAGGTTTCATGAAGCTTCCTGTATTATCACCCCTGGTGTTTTTCCTCCAGGAAATGAGGCTGTGATCTTACTGTTTTTGTTGGAAGATCAATGTGTTTTGGGGATTGTACTTGAAAGTATATTTGTGTTTGATATGTGGTACCAGCAGTGTGTCTAATGATTGTAACTGAGCTCCTGTGGCCAGTAACAACTTTATTCATGAACTAAGTCTGTGAAGGACCACTAAAAAGAGCCTATCTGGAACAAAAGTCTTAAAATTTTTCAGAGTTGGACTACGTTCTCATTATCCCCAGAGTCAATGATAAAAGAACAAAACAAAATAAAGAAACCCAACCTCTCCTGCTTTTGAGGAAAAATAATACTGACATTCTGAGAGTCCTACAACAAAGAAGTAAATTCCAATGTCTTTCAGTATTACTTCTCTGCATTCGATCATTTTATTTGGAGCTATATGAGATACTCTGTATTTGACATGAGCCCCATTTAAACAAATCTTAATTACTCAAAGGTAAAGATTGTTGTCTTCCAGACAACAGTGACATTTCTGATAATGTCTATACACAACTGACTATACTGTTCAGCCATACATACAGCATACTATGCTATTAAAACATCAAAAGATATGGTAGTTACTGAGAAAGGCTTATGAGAAGCCGGGGGAAAATTATAGGCAATGAGGGAAATGGGGCTTAATCTACTCATAGCTGCACTTTTAGCAGCTGGGATGTTCTGTTGGGATACCACAGCTGGGGAGATGAACTGAATGCTTTGTTTAAAAACTGAAGAGCTAGGAACACCTCCTGCTTGAAACTCTGGCTTTTGCTTCTGAAAGCAGGTAAAAGTGGTGACTGATGGTAACTGCCTCTGGTTAGCCACCATTTGAATGGCAGCGTGTAACACTCGTCTCATGGCTGCTGTCGACAATTTAAGTTATACTTCTGATGTCTACCTTGGTCAGTGAAGTAAGAGTAATGGACTTATTAAAATGGGAGGGAAAGTATAAAGGAACCTAATCTGCAACACATACAATTTCTGCTTGCAGCAGAACCATGGGCAAGAATTTGAATAGTCAAAAACATGTTGGATTATATACTTACATTAAATAACCTAGGCTCCTTTGTATGTGGATGGAATCCCTTCTTTTTACAAGCAGAAACTTCTAGCATGCCAGCATTAGTAAGTCTGAAGATGCCAGTGCTGGAAAGCAAAAGATGAAACTACTGTTACATACTGCCCCATAATACAAGTCCAAGGTTTCACATACAAATTGCTTAGCTTAACAGCAGGACAACAGGATGGTACTCAGTAACCTTTGATACACAGGAGCTGAGGCTGGGTTGGATTCTTAAAGATATTTGAAATCAAGGGTGGCTGTATTCCTGTAAGAAAGAGATGATGAGGGGAAGGGGAGAAAAACCACAGTACCGTTGCTATTCCCATTAGGCAAGTTAGCCTACTAAGGCCAAGGCTAGTTCATACAAGAACAGATACAAAACAGAAACTTAGATGTTCTGGATTGCATTTCATTCACTGAACTCTAGAGGAGCAACTTAAAAGAGAACAGCCTTTAAGCTACCAGTGAGAGTACACATCCACCCCACTCTTTTAGGTAATCAAGTAATACAAAGCACTAGAAAATGCACTGCTGCATACGTATGACCTAACACTTTGAGTACTGAATAAAAAGTTAGAATACTCACCCTTCTGTAAAGAACATTAATACCTAATAACTACAGGACAGCAGCAGATTAATAAATGTTACAGATAGGAGTAACAGGTTAGAGAGATAGGAATAACAGGTTAGAGTTAGTTACAGGGTACTAGCATAAACTACGGAAGTGTGCAAGACCAGAGATTTGAAAAGGTGTGCAGGCATTGTGCTCTGAGTTAAAGCCTAGTGCTTGCGCACTTGCCACTCCATCTGTATTTACAGCTCTGCTTCCTGAATGGCCCATATAGGAAGTTAAGCAACCAGAATTTGATTCATAGAAGTCATCTAACAGGGGCAGAAGGCCAGAAAGAAAGGCTGAAGAAATGCACAGTCTAAACAATGGAGTTAGCCCTGGGGCCTTGAAACTCCAAGCACACCAAAGCAGAGTCACAAAATTGAGGTTGGAAAGAACCTCTGAAGATTGTCTAGTCCAACCCCCCTGCTCCAGCAGAATCACCTTGAGCAGGTTGCCCAGGATCATGTCCAGTCAGGCTTTGAATATCTCCAAGGATGTAGACCTCACACCTTCTCTGGGCAACCTGTTCCATTATAAACCTTCACATTAATACTTACACAGTTCCAGTTTTTTTCCAGATATTTATTGTTTGTATTTTATGAAATACAAAAATAGGACCTTATTGTCAAAAAAGTGATCTTTATCCCTCTAGTCCCCAAACTGCAACTTTCACATCATCCTAGAGAAATATAGCTAACCCCACCACTTCCTTCATCAGACAGAATGAAGATACGTCTGTGGTAGGGCACTGGCAATCACGTCTCCAGAAGAACAGCTCCTGTCATTACTACTTGGTTGAGCAGAGCATAACAATAAATAAAATTTAAAACCTGGGACTGGGAGGGAGGAGGAGAGGGAAGCCAGAAACAATACTGTGCATATAGACTGACTGGAATGTAAGTCTAAACAACTTAAAGAAAACAAAGTCATAACACAATATTCCTGCCCTTCATCCCAGTTGACATGTGCTGTTTGTATTTGATCAAATTTGAAGATAAGGAGCAGGGGAAAATATCTAAATATTACTTAGAAAAATCAGAACTCACTCATTATGCTTTGGTGAACAAACAATTGCAATGGCCTCTGGCAACATTAGCTGATAAGAACAATGAGTATGAAGATCAACACTGGATAAGAATGCAGTTTGTGTTGGATGTGTCTACAAAAAGAAAGGGAAAACTCAACATCATGAAATATTTCTTACAAATCAAGGTTGACATACATTCAAGAAGGAACAATAATTTGTAACAAGTGAAAGCGTCAGTACTTCCCCAGGCCAGTTTCTTAAGTTCCTATTAACCCAGATTCTACATTGTTAGAGTGGCTTTTCACTATGAGGTTTATGGAGGCACATTCACAACCAGATGTACAAGCAATTTTCTGATCATGGGGGGAAAAAGGTGGAATGAAGCAGCACACAACAAAGGGAAATGACTTGATCGTCCAAAATACCTAAAAGTGAAATTAATGTAAAATTTAAACAACACAATACCCTCCCCCCCAAATTTTGAATATAGTAGAAAAATAAATGGCATTAGAAAGTAATAATATACCCCTAAATCAACATAAACAAAAGTTGCACTGGCAAAAGCAGGCTCATTGTGCCAACTTCATTACTAAATACACATCTGTGGATAACATTAGTGCTCATTTACATCACGACAATTAGAATTAAGTGAGCAAATTAAATTAGATTATTCCAGTTATTTCTTTCGCTTGTTATTTCCAGGGTTTCTTTCACGTAGTATGCAGAACTGATATAGAAAAGCCAGAATCTATGAGTCATACGTACATGGATCCAACCCAAAGTGAGGAGGTCATACTGATCCTGAATACCAAATAATTCTTCCACATTCTCCATGTCGCAGTAGTCTGGTCCTGCAGATTGCTTTGGCACTATTACATGGGTAATAGTAAATTCATTATGTGTCTGT